GCCGGTTCCCCGGAAACTAGACATTTGTACTAAGTAAGGTACATTAATGACATGATTTTAGTTTAGGTCCTATAATTGTTATCGTCGTGTTATAAATGTAATTTATTTGTATTGATAGGATTAGATATATCATTAACAATACGAATATCCAACGGATTAACTTTAATAAATAACTGAGAAATTAAACAGTTAATTACACAGATTTTAATATTATTATTTGGAATATTATGTTTGACATTATCTTATCTAGATGTAGAATTACGGTTTAAGATAATGACCTCATTTTGTAAACGAAGTAGTAGGTCTGAAATACTAATGGAAAAAACTAAAATATCGCAAACGTTTCACTAAAATAAATAAGCATAAGTAAATAGCACCAAGTTTTTGCCACGATCCTTTGATTGAGGGTTCAAGACTCTGTAATGGTCACTACCGGCCGTTTCAGTAACGGAAATCTTAATAAATCAATCAAACCCGAGTTCAGCACTTGTATTCACATTACAAGTACCTACTTCCAATAACGGGAGTCAAGTGAGATAGGATTCTTATGACTTGTGCAGATGTTTGCAAGGAATTTCTTGTGAAAAATATTCATTGATATGTTAAGTCCACCGCTTTACAGTAGGGTAAACTTAGCTTCAGTCATACTATATAAAATTTATTATAACTAGCTGTAACATGTCCCCTACGTAACCCTCGTGGCAGAACAGACGTGATGTTATGTACATTTACTTAGAATTATCAAAATGCCTAGAAATGCAATTTGCACTCCTTTATCTATAACATCTACTACAAATAGTTCTTGACGTGTTTACATTGAGAGTGATGCAATGTATAGTTTATCGCGAATGTTGATAGTTATCTCGTTAATAAGGTCACTTGTGTGAATACAGTTCATTTAGTTAACTCCGATGATAGATAACGAGTGTCATAAACTGCTTCGAACTAGGTGTGACAAAGTTAAGATAAAATCTGATTTGATTGTTGCTTTGTATTTAAATTATTGTATTTTTACCTCTGTTCAGATAAAACTCTTTCAACGCACGCAATTAACGCTTCAATATTAGTATAATGTATCAATCTATTAAATAACTGAAGTTTGACTTCTCTAGTCGGAACTGTTGACTGACATTTAAAGTAGGTAGGTATATACATACAGTAAAATAAAATTATGTGGAAAATAGTTAAGATTCGTTTCCCACAGAATATTTATGTCACATACACATATTCATTGTCAAGTGATCAGATAATTTATATTTATAGAATAAATGTGGCAGTATGACATAATGTTCATATAAATAAAACTGTCAATTTGTCAATGTTTTCAGTAGATTAAATTAATCCGAAGATTGGAAATAAGAACAGTGAAAACATAAAATGAAAAACTTAAAATGTGTACACAACTTAAATTTTTGAGTACGAGCCTAGCAGGAACAAATCCTCCTCTGCCACCCAATCACCAGTTAGATGATTAGGTGATCCAACTGCCGAACTCTGAATTATGGGCCTCCTCTAGGTAAATAAGAAGGGTTTCCAATAAGTAACATTCGAGATAAGCGGGGCACGATATCTGCAAAGCAGCTGGTCGTGGTTGGATACGAAGGGCTAAAAATCAAGCTCAACGACGTACTAAGTGAGAGGCCGTTGCCCAACAGATGTGTGTGTAATGCAGAGATTCTTAGACTTTATTTGGTGCCTTAAAAGTTCGTTCGTTATACATTTTCGCCGAATAGAAACGGGTTAGTAAAAATGAGTTCATTTTTAATAGTTTTTGTACGTTACGTTATAAAATCTCCAATCACGCTACCAAAACAATAAAACATCAATATTTCAACAAAGAGGGAAAATAAAATTACCATATTGAATTTAAAGTTGACCAGTTCAGGAGAATAATAAGTCTAGAAAAATGTGTCAGTCGCTTCAGCATGCCTAACTTACCTAACTACAGCGACAAAATCAATGACCGTGTATTCCGAAGTTCGACAAACACTCGGTAAGTTTTATTTATTTAAGTAATTTAAAAATATTATATATAACTAGCCTCTGCCAGCGGCTTCGCCCGCGATCCCAGGGGTAAAATGCCTATGTATTACCTTATATATTATTACCTTATATACTTAATCTACTTCTGTTACGAATTTTATTCCGGTCCCTTCAGTCGTTTTAATATAACTGAGTAACAAACGTACACACAAAATAATCCTTTTAGCATGATTCCGTATTCACGAGCGACGGCCCGCGCTGGCTTATTAGGGTATTTCATGTATTTTTTTAAGGGGGGATTATCATTGAATGACTGCTGCCGCCTGGGTGAAGCGGGTGGGGGAGTGTCAGACTCTTACTGACTAAAAACCACCCCGTTCCTTCTCCTGCACGTTGAGCCTAAGCCCCGGTAACCTGTTAGGTTCTCCGCGACTCCGAATCGGCATCAGCCCTATTGAGCCCCATCCGTGGTGGTCTGATGGCTCTTTGAGGCGCGCGCGGAACTCGACGCGCCGTACGTTCGGGGTATTTCATGTATAAGCTTGGTGTTTCTATACCGATTTCTATGTATCTTTTTTTATTGAATAGGTAATAATGTTAACTTTTTAAAATTATGGATGAGTGAGAGTATTATAAACGTAAAAGTAAACAAATATACGCAGAAACTGCTAAGCTATCGGGATCTGCACGTGTCTTTGTGAGTCAAGTATAGGTAATAGATAGACATATGCTGTTTTGGAATATTTTTTAGATTATTTTATGTAGAACAATTCTGTTTTAAATAATTTCTATGTAGCTTTAACCATTAAGGTTACACACGCGATGGAAGCGTAAAAAATGGAGTAACTTCTCCCGTTTTCTCAACATTTCCACTCACTGCTCTGCTCCTATTGATGGTAGCGTGATGCAAAGTATACTATAACCTCCCCAGAAGTATGAAGAATAATTGTACGAAGTTTTGTTAAAATCCGTCGAGTACTTTTTCTTTCTATAAGGAACATACAGACAGACAGACAGACAAAAAATTTACTGCTTGCATTTTTGGCATCAGTATCGATCACTAATCACGCCCTGATAGTTATTTTGGAAATATATTTCATGTACAAAATTGGCCCCTCTACAAATTTATTATAAGTATAGATAATAAAAGTAGTTAGTAGAGGTAGTAAGTAGGTAGGTATACCAATCAAATGTTTAACTACCTCCTGCAGCTTCAGACCAACAGTTAGTATCTATATAGGTATAGTATTTTATACATCCTGCGGAGTGTCGATATACTTTCTATGGTTAGATGATAATCCTAGTAGTAGGTACCTGTTTCAAAATCATAGGCCGACTAACCATGTGCTTTAATTTAGAATTAAATGAGACTCAAAGCGTTCGCGCGTTAAACAGAAAGAAAATCGGGAATAAATAACTAACGTTTTTGCACGGAAAACATTTGAAAATTTTAAAAGAGGTATAGGAGTGGGCATTTTTATGACCGGTAATGAATGTATTTTCTATAGCTCGAATCTGTGATCCTTTTTAATTGTTAATTTAATTGAATTGAAATAAAAATACTTTAATTTGAACTTTGTGCTTAGTCCCTAAGTCTTACCACCTATTCCATTGTTAGACCAGTTGTACATTACTACTGCAGTAATGTAAGGTAAATTAATTAGTATGTTGTAATGCGACGTGTACACTATAGTTATTTGATTTTTTTAACTTCGTTTTGTTACCGACATATTGCGTTTGTGACGTTATATGAATTAATTATTGGCGAATGGCGTCTTATAGAGCAGCCCGGGGATGCTGTCTCAAGTATCTCAGCTGTATTGATTTATTGCATACAGTCTAGACACCTAAAGGAGGGTAGAGGGAAGGTAGCGGCTGCGCTAACCGAGCAGGTAGGCACAAGAGGAGGGCGGGTACGACGCTTCAGGGTTCAACATACTTATTGCAGTGCGCGCGCCTTGGGTGCAGGAAATCAATCAACGGAAATGCAGGAGCTCCGTTTTGCTCGGCGGGAGAGGTCAAAGTTCAACAGGGAATATTCTAGACTGCAATTTGTAAATTAAAGGACAGTACCACAGCTTCAAATGCGTTTGGATTTGTAGTAGAAATTAAATTAACAGCAAAGTTGCATATTCTAGTAACAAAAAAATTTTAAAGACAGGAGAGATAAAAAAACGTAGACATTCATACTTAGGTACCTTGCTTAGGTACTACATCTAATGGGATTATAGCGACCACTTACATTAACGATGACGCAAATTGTTCAGAGGCTCAGAAATTTAAATGTAGATTACAGGTTCCTACGAAGCGCAGTATTGTGGTTTCATTACCACCTGAATACTTCGCATAAGTTAAATTCAGAACCCCACAATTTATAAATACTTAGATAAGATGCTAATCGTCATAAGGTATAAAATCATACTAATAGCAATTAATTTAGAAATCATAACAAACACTGGCACTTGTAAATGTCGATTCGAATTTTGGTCAATCAAGTAGAAGAAGGGCATGGTAAACAATTGCATATGTATGTTCCCATTACTATGTGGCTACGTGTTTAATACATATTAATAGGTATTAATTATGTCCATTTGATTTTAATTAGACATTGAAACTACTTACTTAATACACCGGATCATCTAACTAAACTACTTCACCTAATTTACCACCAAAAAGTCATTGGCCACTGATGTACTCATTCTTTTATATAACATGCCACATGAAAACAACATTGTTTACCAAATTATTTGTCCTGAAAACTAAGCCAGGCAGTAAAGTACTGTCTGTACTCAATAAAAGTTAGCATTGGACATGTTAGTATTTCGCTAAGCATTCAGTTTGAATTATAATTACATAACACAAAGGTTGGTTTTCAGTTTTTATCAGCATGTCCAGCTGGTGTATTGTGTACCCTGTCTAGCCTGTTGGTGAAAATCAATAAGTTCGCGCGCCGTCTCAGTGCATTGCCGCTCAGCTGTCTATTGATTTTAGAGCTATGCTAACAAAAAGTAACTTACCAGTAGAATGCAATTCTCTCGCCAAGGCCGTTCCTGACGTTCCTGTCCAAGACGTTGAAGCAGATGTTGGTCCTGGAACCTTCGAGCCATCTTACGAAAATCCGCCCCTCGTCTACATTAAAATTGTAAGAGACGATATTTCCACGCTGGTATGGTGTTTGCCAATAGAATTCATTCGCTAATTCTGACCAGAATGACTCGGGGTCTTCAAGCGATTCTTTGTGCATATTTTGGTATTGCTCGAAGGAGGGCAGGAGGGATTTTTCGACGACATGGTCGGTTGGTTCATAGACGCGCGACATCGCGGATGACGATACAGTGCGGTCGCGCTGAGATCAAATTGTCGGCGGGAGCAGACGTGCACGCGAGCTCGCGGGATCGGCGCCGACTGTCGACTAGACTGACGTACGGACCGTGCGGTCGATCCGTCCAATGCTGCTTGACGCTCGACGCTTGCCAGCGGAACATGGGCCGTGATCACACCCGAGATGACGCACGCATGCAGCGCGCGTGCGCGCTCTATGCGCGGTACACTCAAATATGCTAAATGGACGCCAACCCTGCTTCCACATAGTCCATTTCTTCTTTTTCATGAGTAAACTCATAAAAAATTGATTATAGACATTGCAAAATACCAGTCTAAACAGTAATAAGTATATGTAGATGGTAATTTATTGTAGAAGTTGTAGTCGACACTCGGTAATCTTGATTTTAACAAGTGTAGCAATACTTCCTTTTTATATATTTATCCGATGGAATTAAATAATCACCATGATCACTTACTTAGCATGACTTTGTAGACATTCAAAACCATAATTAATAATCAGGTACAATAGGTAAAATAATCAAGAAGCCGAGATATGATTTTTCTTGCCGCAGGTCTGCAGGAAGCGCGTTAATTCCTAAAGGAATATGCTGTAGGTACCTATGTACATACTTCATGCTTGTAATGTGTTGTCCTTTGTAAAATTATCGACTGTATGGTGTCCATGAAATCTATTCCATATATATAATGAAACTGTAGAAGTGTACAATGAAATTTATGAAAAAATAAATAGTAGTAACTATCTAGTAATAGACACCGAACCCAATGTAATTAAAAAAAAATATCTGTTTGTCTATAATGTCTATATGTTCAGGCATCACGCAAAAACTACCGGTTCGATTACGATGAAACTTGCTATGATAATATGATTATACTTTAAGATCCTGGGCACAACTCTGGGTACCTACTTTTTATATAAAAAAAAGTAATTAAAATTATATACACGAAAAAACAAACCTAATTGTGCAGTTCAATCCCTAGACACAGTTACTGTACCAAACGCAAATATAAGTTTGTCGAATGTTAGGTTGCCCACAGTGGACTTTACGCTGTAACTGTAGGGCATCCATCAGGTTGAAATTAGCTTGCAGCGATATTATAAATGTGAAATTATGTGAGTTAGTGTGCATGTTTGTTACTCAGTCACATCAAAACGGCTGAAGGGACCGGGATGAAATTTGGAACAGAGGTAGCTTATGACCATAAGCTGAAATAATACATAGGATTCTTTACACGCAGCGAAGCCACTGGCAGAAGCTATGAAAATTAAATAAGAAATATTTTTATAATAACTATCGTGAGACATACTAAATTAACTAAAAATCGCAGGTTACTCACGTGAATATACTGTGACAAGCTCTACTAGTTTCGAACCACAGAGGGGTTCTTCCTCATGAGCAACGTGCGCGGTCGCGGCGATGTCGCGCAGCCTACTGCCCGCCATGTGATGGTCGTTGATTATCCTAATAAGATTTCCATCGCAAAAACGCATAAGTTACGCATTTATAAATATGTATGATAGGGAAAGGCGCCTAGGGAGTGTGGATTATCTAACTAAAACTCCCCGGTAGCTCAATAAGTACCTGCCTACAAAAGATCCTCTCAGGAGACCAATCCTGGAGCCCCCACAATGTAAGGAAGACCATGTAACATTCCTAAGAAGGCCTGCGTCTTTCTTGAGCCTCACTGCGCACGGCGCGGTGGCACAGTGCCACTGTGCGACTGGTTTCCCTGAGGTTACTGAGTGAGTGTCTGGATTCCCTAATCTATGTTCAGCCTGCACTTAGCCGCTACACGCAGAATCAACCCCCTTCGCGATCACGCTCACCTCATGCTTCTTTTTAAGACATGCAGTCTCACAAATGGATGGCTCTTTTCTCCAATTTTGTCTCTATCAACATAGGCCTAATTAGGTATTGCTGCCAGAGACAGGTATCACCTGATCTTGGCAACTAGGACCCGCCGCTCAGAAAGTAATGAAGTACCTATAACGTACTATAACGGGCTGGTGCTGAAAATCAGCGCCGTGGGGACGAGCCTCTGTGCCCGGGCCACGGTATTAAGCAGAGCTCCAGCCTTTTGCGCTGCGACGCACCATAGGTTTTTTTGTGTGTACCTAAATTCTTGTTGTGTGTCGTAGTAAAATAAAAGGTTTTTCTTTCTTTCTTTCTTACCTAAGTATGTACTCATTTTATAATTCTCTGTAACAATACGAAATTGTGAGAAAATGTGCCTACAACTCGGCATAATGGTCGCATTTTGTGTCAATGTGACTACAAATGACATCCATATTAAGTGGCTGTAGATTACACATTAGCTTTGCTTCGAGACAATGCATTACGGGCTGTTTGGTTGAAAAAAAAAAACAAATTTAACAGATGATTCTTTATTAACAAAAACTTATATAAAATAAATGTCTAAACGCGAAAGCGTATGTGATAACCAGTCTTTCATGTGTAAGCTACCATGAATTACAGAACAATGTAATCATGTAAATAAACCACTAAACTAAGAAATGTGACAATTTGATAACTTGCATCTTGTGTTTCAATGTTTGTACAGAACCGAACAGTGCTAACGGCGCGACGCGTACAATTTGTAAAATACTGGAATATCTTTAACATTTATGTCAACTAATATTTCAATTTGAATGAGTTAAATGTGCGGAAAGCCTTAAAACATAGTTAAGCCATGAATCAATAATTTAATTATAAATTCTTACAAAATAACTGTGACGTAAAACACCTGAAGTGCGACTGTGCAACTTATAAAGCTACACAGTCCACAGCCAAAAAATAATTAATAAATAAGTATACGTTACAAAATAATTCTACAATAAACTTAACTTAGTTATTACAGACCGATTCGTATATTTATGTTTACGTACATAATATAAAACATGTTACTTGTCAACCATATTATAGTTCAATTAATAACAGGTAATAGTAATATATTATTATGTAACAAGTGAAAACATGTAGGCTATATATACGAATGAACAACATACCCCGAGCTTCGCTGAAAATATTTCACAACATTTACTTGGATTACTTAGCGTGACTTCAAATACATAATCGACATCTAATCAATCATAATAAAAAACAAACTTTCATGATCTCATCATTTTACGTAACTTCACTTGGTCACGGGTTCGAAGCGGTTCGAGCAAACCAGTTGACGTATTAAGTTATTTTCCAAGGGGGGCTGGCCTCGAACCAGAGATGGCAGCTGAACCCGATAAAACTTATTTTTATAAATATTACGTAGACAAGTGACTTTTGGACTCTTCGAAATGAAGGTACCTACATCATTTGAACTTTGATAATATAATTTATTTTAAGGGAAATATTAAATATTTTTCTCCATCGCCTAATTGTGTATCTTATTATTTGGCAATATGAGTATTATAGTTGGCAGGATTGCTAAAAATTGACTTAAAACCTAGTTTATACATTTACAGTATTTAGACTGTGAGCCACGTCACGCAGAGACTATAAAGACAATAGTTTGATAGTTTTTGTAAAATTGTGTTACAAAATTGAAGACTTTAAAGCAAAAAAGCATTCTCAAGCCTGAATATCCTTGAAATAGTCATTTATTATTTACTTAATTTGATCTTATAATTAAGAGCCATGTTTTATCAGTACAGGTACATACTAAACATTAGAAAGCCATCCTTGAAGTTCCGCCAGGTAATCCATTTATAAATTTATCTATCTATCTACTACTACATCGTACAAATATATAATTTCTGTGACTTTTGTATTAATATCCACGAAGTAACGAAGACAATAAATAGATATGATAAGTTAGTCCCATTGCAATGAGGTACATTTTGGTAACTTAATTAAGGCCCTTACTTATATAAAATTTGCTGAGTTAATTTTATTAGAGTACTTAATATTAAGTAAGGATAAGCGACCGCACGCGTGAACGTAGCGTCGATACCTGCTTGTGCACACCGTGTGATTAACGAGATCTCTATTTCTCTATACATTATAATATCGGAAAATATAAATTGTGACCTATTTGTAGACAACGGTGTCTGTTTGCGCGATAAAACTTTATCCAAAATATTAAGTTCATTTTATCCTAAAGTACGACGAGCTACAATTTAACTATTACATTACAACTTACCGGCGCACCGGTACATCAATAAATTATGACGAAAGTGTAAGTATTTTCATGTTATTTGCTAGTGCCGCGCCACAGTACCTACTCACTACATCGAAGTGACTTGCTTTGCTATAAGTAAAGTTTTGTGATTAGGACGTTCCCATGTTGCTTGAGCCACTAATAAATTTCTATGATACACGTCCCCTGTTTACCTATCATAAGTCATATTACCGAAGTAAATTTTCTTCGATCACATTCAGTCCTAAATTTATATATTTGGCCCCACGTTAGGTTTTTATCACGTGATTTCGTCTTTGTTTTGCTGTATCACAATTAGGTTCATGCTAGGTGGCTAACGACATGAGCCTCCGGCGGCGTAGCTTGCGCCCGCAACGCTTCCAGGCGGCGGTGAGGCAGTACACGACGGCTATGATGGCCAGCAACGTCATGGCGCGGCTAGTCATGCTCGGACTCTGCTGCTCCGCCCCACCATGACCGCGCGACGGTGCAGCTCCAGCTCCACGCCAAGTGCGCGGCGCAGGCTCCGTACCCTCTATCTCGGGGGCACCTGTGAATTCAACTTCGTACAACTTATGACTCTCTTTTACATCAAGTATGTAAGAAGGTACATACTAATTATTATAATCACTACCTACATCAAGTTTAGTTAAAGGTGATGATTACATGCAAAACGACACACATTTGTTGTGATATGTCATGTGACAATAACGCCACATTGCTTGCAAGAAGGTCGATTCGAAAACGAATTTTTATTCAATCTAATGTGCCAACTGGTAGTGAAATGGAAACAACTATCAGTCTATATCACATTCTATCTTACTACGGGATAGAGTTTAACAATTTATCTATTTGTGTAATAGAAATAATTTTCTCCGCTTGCTATGGAAAAAATGAAATTAATTCATCATGATCCAGTACCTTACAGGCAGGTGCTTTTGCGAAATCAATTACGCAACCCTTTTTATTCTGTTTACATCCATACGTGTTTTTATATTAGCGAGCCAATCGCAACTCACCCTCCTCTTATGACCTTGTAACTCAGACCAAGGTCAATGTGAACCCTCGTTGGGCGACCCTTTCTGTCAGACCCCTCGCATTAGCGGTGCTGCTTTGTGAGTGCCCTTTCATTCGATCTCTCAAATTACGAGTCCACTGAAGTAGGTATACTTATTTAATATAATTCAGGCAGACATCGTCCTTTAATATCAGGGGTCCTTTTATCTCAGGCCGCTGTTGTGTATTGAAAATTACACGAGCGTTTATACTTTGAATAACAAACTTACAAACCCGTGTTACATATTTTATTTTTTATGAGTAGATCCAAAATGGTATAATATAATACTGTACTTAGTTTTGCGTTCGCTATGATTGTTGTGTTTTATCCAAGATTCTGATACTACATTATATTTGAATTGTACATCCTTACTAATATTATAAATCGGAAAGTGAGTTTGTTTGTTCCGCTTTCACGCCGTAACTACTAAACCGATTGCTTTGAAGTTTTGCAGATGTACAGTTAGAAGTCTGGATTAAGTAATAGGGTACTTTTTATCCCGGAAAAATTTGATATTCTCGAAGGAAAACGAAACTATTGGTATAGAGGCGCTGTGTGTATTGGTATATGTCATATAAGCTACTTTTTATCCTTTTGTGACGCGAGCGAAGCCGCGGGTAAAAGCTAGTAATGTATAATACTAACTACCAGTTACTATATTAATAACGATCATCAATACACTCGATAAAAATAATGGTTAATTTTGCCATAATCAAAATAAGATGAACTTGTACTTTATCGATAATTCGTCTTTTTGTGATCTGAAATCCTCCAGATACCGATAATACAGAATTTCGAAAACATGTCCTAAAACCTATCTTCACTAACACATGATAGATAATTTATCTTATAAAATTATTTCATAACAATGGACTGCCAATTGAGTCGTATTTTGATGTAAGGCTTAGAGCCCAATATGCCAATAACCTACTAGCTTATCTAGCAATGTAAATTATTTCTTGTTTCCTTGACTTTTCTACTTCAATACGTAGATGAAGTAAATGTCGCGTATTTATTATAATAGCTAGATAAAAACGTGCGTAAAATAATAATTATTTTGATTACATAAGTATTAATTCACATTGGTTAACTTAAATTTTTTTACCATTCAATTACGTGGACTTAAACAAAGCGTGAAGTCTCAACTAAACGGTTCTATAAACACATATTTTATTGTGTTATATACCTTCTTCCTGATCGGGTTAAATATACAAAAAGTTTAATAAGTACAATAAGTATAAATAATTTCTTTTGGGACAGTCAATCATTAGATACACTACGCTTATGTAAGAAATCCTTAAATAGATAACGCATATTTATTGTATTACAGTAAAACAAAAGTAGAGCCGCTTGTTAATTTTATTGTCCATAAGGCCATTTTATTTATGTATACGACTCTAACTTAAGAAATAGTAATACTAAACTAACGTAACGTAACTACGCCTTAGTGGCAAGAAAATGTGATATTAGTGATTTAATCTGCTAAATTTTGTATCATTAGAGGTATATCTAGCTAGCGAGTTTTTAACTTTTTAAGTAAGGGCCTGTTGCACAATGTCTGAATAGCAGCTATGTACCAGATAAATTTGAATTAAGAAAGTAATTTGTATGAACTATCCTGATACATAAGATTATCGGGTACTTGTATGGAGATGGTGAAACAGGTCGCTACATACTAACCCGATGACGAAATATAGATGCAAAATTGTATAAGCCGCTACATTGTGGCCAATAAAAAGCGTTTACTTAATTCCTGCCATTACATTTTTGAATGGACTTAGAATGGTATTCTGTTTGAATTTATTCCCTCAATCATTGAGCATGCATGAAGAAATATGGCACAATCGTGTCATTTGGCGTTCCATTGTTTCTATGCTACCAACCTCAATGGGAGACGACAGTGACAATATGTATATAAGTATATATTTACGTAACTTATCTTAAAACGAGCACAACTATCATATAATTCTTCTCACGACCAGAACCAGTAGTTAAAGCGAAAGCTCTCTGCTTTTATGATTGAGCAAATTTTACTACTTGATCAAATGAACGGAGTCTATGTTCTTATGTCAATTAACCGTCACTATTAGCGAGTAAGTGCCGGTCTATCCAACCGGCAGCCACTTCCACTGTTTGTGAAAGACTTTACCCTACATAAAAGCCTAAAGCAGACTCAGTAAAGATAGTTTTAAAAAGAGATTCCTTGAAGGACTCTGTCAAAGTTTTCGCCACAAGGTATTACGAAATAGTACTCTATAATTAAACTGCCGTTATAATATCAGCCTCATATGCAAACACGTATGTTTCGCGTCCAGGCAACGCTTTCGAGGTCTCTAATTGAGGTAAAAATATAATTTTGACCGTGGGTTGGCTAGAATTTAAGTTAATTAAGCAGGCAATTAAGTATATTTTCTATTGTTTTCAGGGAAATGTGAAGGTGTACTTACCAATACTTTTAGGGTCAGTAGGTTGATGTCGCGGAGCGAGGGTGCGGGCTGACGGTGGTGCATGAATCGGATGGGGCCTCACTGGGGTGGGGGTCATACACTCCGGTACGGGCCGCGGTCCGCTGCCGTCGGGAGATAAAACCCTGGAGTAAACGTGCAACCGACCCCCTTCTGCTCTCTGTGGCAATTCTGTTAAAAACCACACTATTATATTAGGAAAGGAATGATTTGACCTTACGAGTATCTCATAAACTTCACTTTATGGTGTTAATATAAAGGAGTTGATTCAGTCGACTTAGTATTTTTTTACCTACGGTATAAATTGTTGTACAATTTACGATGTTTAGGGTGAGATTACAATACTGCAATAACACGCCACAAATTTTTAGCAATGCGTTTGTATTGATGAGCCTCATTTTTGCGGTGTACCGCGAAACCCAGTTGTATGGTATTTTAAGCAAGTGAATTCGCTCATAAAATGAAGTCGAAATGCTTCGTATTTTTTCAAAATCAAACATACCTGATGGTATAATATGTACGTCGCGCAGTCGGTGCTGGTGTGGAGTGGCGGCGTCCTTGAGTGAGGAGGGCAGGTGTCCGACGAGCGCATACTGTAGCGCGGCGAGCAGTAACCAGTGACAGTTGCGAGCAGCGCCGCCCTCCAAACACGAAGAGTCACCATACACCACTAGCCGACCAGCCTGTGTGTGCGGAATACAAAATGTAATCTTGGTTTTGTAGTTTCATTTGTATTTCAGATGTAAGTCGTAAGCAATTGGCGCCACTCATAGATACCAGCTATACCAGATGATTTACAAATGCGTTGCCGACCTTTTGGAGGGTTAGAGAATTTTTGTAGGGCCGCCGTGGTAACACTCCGGTCGAACCAACTTATTCGTTTGGTAGCATAGCTCTCCCACACTTTTCAATGCGCATTTTTAGCATGTTTACATAATACGCCTTGCGAACAGTCAGGCAGAAGTGAACATAATAGATAAGACTAATTTTTGCCTGTTATGTCACTATGGGCCCCATGTAATAGGGAGCAGCCCTGTTATCATACATCGAGTACATATGTGCGGCTGCAGATCTTGGAAAACCGAAATAACTAACATGAATTTTATACACTGATGTAGTAAGACAATTAAATATTATTGTTATAATAATAGTATTTTATGAAACGGACCTTTGGTAGCCTGTCGCTGGTATCGTTCGTGTAGTCCCTGGTTTCGCCATCAGTCTGCAGTAGTCCTAGTATCGGCACGTCGACCGTCTGCCCACCGGCTGACGCACCGCCTCCTGCACTCGGCTTTTCTCCAGACATTATCTGTATAACACAAAACACAATATCATATCTTGTTTACTATTGATTGTAGACTAAGCAATGATGCGCCAACTATGAAGCACGCCTGCCCATAAACAACCTATTCACTCAGATCTTGAACACCCACCTCATAAACAAAACACACTCTTTCTTTTTCTGCCGGTTTTATTACCAAATAGTTTTAGAATCGGTACCGGGTTTAACCAGTCAACAGAATGCCAGTCAACATATATTGTTTACATATTATTATTAGCTTTCTACTCATCAACAAACGAGAAGAATGCAGACAATGCTGTATTTTGAATGCATTAAAGGTGAAGAATTATTTAAGTTTTATTCACACGAGGAGCCGAATAATATTAATTCCCCATCATCGGATAAGGGTTTACCCCAATGATGGAACCAATTCTATTTTCTAATTACATACGCTGGAGTCGGCGCCAACATTCGAGCCAACGTGTGGAACCAATGCGAACAAAGTACATAGTATAATTTAATAGCTTATTTGAGTAAATAGCTTACTTGATGTCCCTGGTCACTGAGAGGCGCCGTTATCAGGATTCCATGTTCAGGAAAACTATGTATATGAGTTCCACTCGCGTAGTACATTGGATGACCGCCCAACCTGAATGCTCCTTCGAAAACGCGATCACCCAGGGCAACCTGACAAAATTACCGGTGTACATAAATTACACAGACTCACACCTTTGTTTAAAGAGAAATAGAGTGTCTTATACTCTGCATTCGTTTTGTTTACTTTTCATAGTATTTATAATAAAAATAAATTAGAGGTTGTTTAAGTTCTATAAGTCGTTGCCGTATTGAAAAGGTTTTTTTACTGATTGTACAGAATACGTCTATTTATTAAGTTGTCTTTGAGTTTTTGTGTTAAAACAATAAACTTACTTGATACATGCTAAGTAAATCGTTCAAAGCGGGCACGTTGGCACCCCCTGTTTCAGGTATCCACCTGAAATAAGAAGATATAATTACTTACATAGCAATATAGAGCACGTGTCAATGTTAATACTAGAATTAACTAACGTTAGAATCAACTAACTGATTGACGATATATGAGATGAAGACGATTTCGAATATAATATGACAAAATAAATATGACAGATAATGCAATGCTAAACTAGTCCAAGGCGATGGAGTATAGCGAGACGCGGGGCTCAATTCTGCCTGTACCTGTACTTAATGAATGGCATGATGAGAACTACAGTTCCGTCATGCTATTCTATCTATCCGCCTATTATGTCGAGTTGTTGCTAGTTTAAACTAAATCTCGGCGTGATAACTAGTATTATCTAAAAATAAATATTAGAGGAGAATTCTAGTTTTTACTAGTTATTTGTTTAATAAAGGCTTTGTTTTAATAAAAGCATTTAAAAAGACACTAGTTCTAGCTAGAGAAAACGCGTTTTGGCTAAAAACGTGTTTTGACGGTAACACATGTATTATAAATGTGAAAGAAAGAAAAATTATGTTTGCTTAGTTTATAACAGTACATTACACTTGAATTAACTGAACACAGTAATTGTTTAATCTAGCCAAGAACTAAGATTGCGAATATTGTTTATTAGTTAGATTAGATAAGTAGTTTCACTTACCATTGTCGAGTATTTTCGTCGTAAAACTTAACGTGGCGCAGTAATGAAGCGTTGTACCAGTCAGCGAAAACTACGAGAGACATGCCAGAGTCGACGGCTTTCTTCAGTGCAGCCATTTCTTCAGGGAAGTACTCATCTTCCGGATCTACTAGCAGCAACGCTCCATACAACGACGTGTCGATGCAGGTTAAAGGACAACCTGAGCATTAACAATTTGGTTTTCACAAGCTTTTATTAGGTTGGTCTGTTACGAACTCAATAATAAAATCTAAGTATCTGAATAACACATACATGTTATACATATTTGACATTGTTATACATATTTGTATCATCATGAAACTTTGAAAATATAAGAAAACAAGATAACTGAACAATGTTAGGGTACCATTGACCATTCATTGAGATTGAAAAGAACTGACAGAACTTTGGGCTACCTACTAGAAAACATACATCTAGTTTGGGCTCATTGTACTAGCTAGTCTATTTCTCTTGATGACGAAGACATACAAGGTGCAATGTTGAATGTGCAAAATTTGACACCCCAATTGTTTTTAAACCAATAGACCTATTTCTAAGAGAAAATAATTCATTTAATAAATATGATGTTTTAGTTTTACAAGCAATTCAAATCAAAATATTAAACGCGTGTTTTTTAGTTTTTTTTTACTAAACTATTAGTTTTTTATATCCCCATTTCATTTTCAATTGTAGAACAGTATGATAACGGACTAAGAGAACCGTGAAATAATGTAAACACAGCTGATTTTAGTATTTTAAAAAGGAAATGTACCCATAACTTCCAAATAGAAGCCGTGTTCTCGAAGGCGGCGATACATGTCGCGGAAGTTGGTGTGAACGTGGTCGGCGTGCCAGTCGAGCGGGTCGTGCTTGGCGCGCAGGTCGTCGCGCGGGAAGTACCCGCCCGGGTAGCGCAGGCTGTGGAACTGGTCCCACAGGAGGCGACGTGAACGCACCGGCACAGGGATAACGCGAGCCCTGACAATGCATTCAATAATAATTAAAACAAGGCATCCTCATCACCAGCCGTCGAAGGGTTTGCCATAATCTCTACGCTTGGCAAGCGGGTTACAACTTACAGATCGCAGTTTTAAATAAATGATCACCCGCTACTGCACCGTCTCTGTTAAATAATATTTATGTCATCCCTTTAATTAGCGGGTTTTGCGGTATTTGCTGGAAGAGTATGGGTGTTAACAAATGTATTTTCTACTCTGCCGTCATCAAACGCCATTATTGTGGTGACAGTAAATACATAGACAGAGATAAAATATGACAGCTTCGATTGTTCAAGTGGTAGCATGCGCGACTCCCCTCGGGTTCACGGATCATTCAAAGTACATATTTTTCGGATTTTGTAGATTCTCAATGATAGCAACAAGCTGGGGCTTGTGGTGGGCCACAAAAGTACGTAGATGTAACAAGGACTTTATAACTGAAGCAAACTGGATAATTATTATATCTTAAACTAGCAGCCCGTCCCGGCTTCGCACGGGGTAGACAATTATTTATTTATGGAAATTTGGATTGTTGTAGTGACATAACTATTGTCCAACTATTGTTAGTTGGACATATGCTACCGCGGAGTTTTTTGTAGACATTTTGATATTAATGATTTTTATATTATCAATAATTGATTTTCTTTCATTCCACTTCCTCACGGCTCAAATTTTTAGAAATACAAATATATTTGTCATAACAAATCATCAGATGTTATAGGCCTGCTCACAATGTCTGATTAATGGCCGAAATTAATAAAAGATCTCAATTCAAATCTGCGGATTGTTAGTTGTATAAAACAAATTCACCCAGAGATTTTGGATTACATAATCGATTCGTTGTTGGTTACGGGTGCATATTTTTGACACGTTGGATTACAAATATGAACGTGTACAGCTGCTATGTAATCTAACATTATGCCACAGGCCCTCTAGTGTTACAGTCAATGTGTATTTACCGTATAGGAAGTGTGAGCGTAGCATTCCTCATAATTTTCTCTCCGGAGTCATCGTCGCTTTCAACCGTGACGTTCATGTGACCCTGTCGAATTGTAAAATAATAATATTCTCAATTACGCCACGTCAGGACGCGTCATGGTTCGTTTAACTATTTACATGGCACACAATTCGTGTAAACAGCTGTATTAACATTTATTCAAACATTTTTTTTAGAAATTACTGCCTCTGTTCAAATTCAGTTTTCCACCTGTATTCATATAATATTATTATGCAAATAGGAAGAACCTAAGACCATGAGACGATTAGTACAGATTCAATAAATTGTATCGTTTGGTTAACTAAAACTAATTAAATTGTAAAAATAACCCTTTTTAGCATTACATAAATGTATTCAAACACCTAGTCAAGTTTCAGAAACTCACATTCGGGTTTATTCTATGGATATTAATTGACAAAAGTCTCTCATGGAGTTAACAACGCTGTTTTAAAATACACGGTTTACAAAAATTGTTCTACAGACTTTAAGGAATATTGCAGTAAAATCAGTATATTGACTAACCTCAATAATGCCATCGAAATCGGCGCCCTCTTCAATGACGCTGAAGCTCAGTGCTAGCCAACCAGACCATGGCCAGAGGATCGGACTGTAATCAGCCGACACCGACAGGAGCACGCCGTTTGGTAGGTGTGGGTGCCACGACACGTCTTTCTGTGAATAACCAGCCAACCAACACCAACTTATTAAGATGGACTATTCTAGGTAACACAGCACATAATTAGTAATAATTAGTATAATTAGTAATAGTATACATAATATCGACTGCACGGTTTGCGCGGTGGTTGGGCAACTGACTGCCGCGCAACATGTCGCTGGTTCTATTACCGCACGGAACAACTCTTTGTGTGATCCACAGATTGTTGTTCCGGGTCTGGGTGTCATGTGTATGTGAACTTGTATGTTTGTAAACGCACCCACGACACAGGAGAAAATCCTAGTGTGGGACTACGTTTAAAAAAAATAAGGCTTATTTTTTTGTCTCGTATACATATCTTACTTTGTGCTATTATTAGCCTGTTCTAATGTAATTGCTATTCATACGATAGTAGACCAAGCGATATCAAAGTGAAAACTTGTGGATTAGTGACTTAACATTAAGTTGTCAAAATATCAATGACAAGACAGTGTAACGAATAGTGTTGAGAGAATGGTAATGGACTTTTCTGCCACAGCTTTTTTAGAGTATCTAGAACCTGGTTGTTAAAATTATACGTACGACTCTCCCCGAAACGCCCAATCCATTGATGACGGTGACATTGGCGATAGTAGGCTGCGCGCTGTAGTACAACGGCTGCGTGCAATACGGCCACATGTACTGACACTCCGTCAGGTCGATATAGCTCGGACTCAACGACGCTTGAGGCTCGTATTTGCGCAGAAACTGTAATAAACAAACTTTGTTATTTGTTGTACCAAAAATACTTACTTGGTGAAGTTTGTTGGGTTGCAGCTTGCACCTAAAACTACTTATTTCCTTTATTGATTTGAATTAAAGTTGAAAATTCATTTAAAAAAAATGAACAGGTTTGTTGGTTGAATAGGTTAACTTGTTAGCCTCTGTACACTAGTCTCGACATGAATCACTTACCAACAAAGATATAATGTAAATTAAATGAGTGGTACTAAAGTTCTGCGAATAATGTTTGTACCTGATAAGCGCTAATAAGGTCCAGTTTGCCGTGTCCCTGTTCGAACATGTTGGGTCCTGGCAGCCGCAGCGCAGTCATACACAGAGCTTGCTTCACTGCAGCGGGCGTTAGATTGTGACGCGGCACGCCACTTGCCAACAACGCTATGGCACCGGCAACCACAGGCGACGCCACTGACGTACCTTGTATAAACAAAACATACCATTACTCTTACTACTTACTTACTCGCTAAGAAAGTACGGTGTGCAGTCCACTTTTTTTTAGTCAGTAAGAGTTTGACACTCTCTTTCGCCTCACCCAAGGCGGGAAAAACCATTGGATGAGTTTTAACTCATGTTACTTATTAAGTTACTAGCTTTTACCCGCGGCTTCGCTCGCGTCACAAAAGGATAAAAGTAGTCTATGTGACATATACCAATACATACAGCGCCATCTATACCAATACTTTTGTTTTCCCTCGGGAATATCAATTTTTTCAGGATAAAAAGTACCCTATTATTTAATCCAGACTACTAACTTTACGTCTGCAAAAATTCAATGCAATCGGTTTAGTAATTACGGCGTGAAGTCGGAACAAACAAACAAACAAACAAACTCACTTTCCCATTTATAATAGTAAGGATAATGAGTAAGAATTACGTATCCGCCAACAAGATGAAATCAAATCCAAGTTACTTTATTATTAAATGTGTAAACGAGACAACAAAATAATGATTAAGCGTCCCGCCATGTCAAGATAAAAAATAGTTACGTATACTACCGGGTGAATGAACTGTCACAAAAATTGGAGACGCCTTGAAAATTAACTAGCAATTGAAAGAAATTATAAGACGATTTATTCATGACGTTGTTGTATTTACAGCTTCGTAAGTAATCATTAAATTATCTGTGCATTTGTAAATCAAATACACTATTAGACTATACAAAAAATAACATAGGAGCATAACATCCATACAAATAGACTAAACTCAAAGGAAATATGTATTAAAGTATTTAAGGCGTTGAATTAGTAATAGTTAAACGTCTTCATCTTAATTAAAGAGTTACATTCATATGTGAAATATGTTAATCCATGACCTATCAGTTGCATAGGACATATTGGTTATGCGACACTTAGGTAACAACGAAGTACAAGACGTGTGGCATGACCGAGCAAGTACCTGTAGACCTGTGTGGATTATTGTGTAACAACATACCTTTATGTAAGAAGCTATTGCTATTGTTAAGATACACAATAGTTTACAATTCTAGATCACTAGAATTAAGATAGTTTCCATTCCACTTAAGTTGATAAAACTGTATTAAAGTTATTTTAACATAACATCACGTGTCAGTGCACATTACGGCACTTAATACCACTTACGTGGGTTACAATGTAAGCCCCACTTTTTATTAAATAAATAAATAAATTCTTTATTGAACACCAATGGATTTGTACATTACTTTTTACATAATTTATGTTATGAGTCCCATGTAATAAGGAGTAAGCCTATTGCCGTATGCCGGGCACATTTCCAGACTCCGTGCTATTACTGAGATTTATTTAAAAACCCAGTTGTACTTCGCCAGACCCTTTTTTTGAGCGGGGAAAATCATCCAATGACTTCTCCCGCCCGGGTGAGGCGAGAGGGAGTGTCAGACTCTTACTGACTAAAAACCACCCCGTTCCTACTCCTGCACTTCGAGCCGGAGCCCCGGAACCCCTTAAGTCTTCCGCGGCTCCGTATCGGCATCAGCCCTATTGGGCCCCATCTGAGGCGCGGGCGGAACGCGACGCGCCGTACGCTCGGGCCTGGTTCTGGTCGGGCGGCGAGTCAGTCGTGCTCGCTCGACCCGACAGTGACACTTGCGATAACTCGGCCAAGGAGGCAGTGAAGTAGTATTAAAGTTACTTATTTACCAAGGTATATATACGAACCACTAAGTGACCGGCAACCTCCATTGACACTTGAACCCCTAACGCCGCTCCCATAAGTTACGATGTCCGGCTTCATTCGACCATAACCCTAAAAATATACAGATGTTATAATAGCAACAATGAAGATAAAGTATATTATATACGTATATATTATGTGTTGAATGATCACAAGACGAGGCTTTTAAACAGTTTGTACACAATCTCTAGATATAAAATGTTGCGCGAACTCTGTGACTGCGCACGAATGAGGGACCTATATGTGAATTGTAGGTACTATCTTGTCATTACTTCGATAAATACAGCGATGAAATCAGTACTAAACTTATTAAAAGATCAATCTACACAGAAATGCGACTGAACAATGAAACCTTGAAATTTTGACGCAATATAAATAAGAATTGAAATACTGTTTAGTCTGTCGTCTCAATATTGTTTTATTGCTAATATGGAATGGCGAAAGAGATATAATACACCTCTACTTTAAAGTTCAGGTAGTATGATTTTTTTCTGGTCAAATCAATTAAATTACCAGCATATGCGTTACGTTACGGCATTTTAATTTTAAATTATTAAATTTGTTGAAGTATTTTCTTTATCACTTAAACAGAAATTAATTTGAAACGTGTTATTTTATACCAAATTTTATTCTTTTAAAATTAATTTCTTCGAATTCATTTTTCTCACATTCCTTACACTCAGGGGTCTTCAATTTAAGACGTTTCATTGCGTCCAACAGCCGTGCTGTAGCTATGCGATTGTCGTACGGTGAACGGACGAACATTTGTTTTCATACAAAAACGAGGTGCGACAACGGTGCGCTTTCGGTACCGCAAATGAACGACGACAGGACGGAACGTATGTTATGTTAATTTCACTATTGGATAGTGCAATGACCATACGTAACAGCTAATTTCCTCAGGTAAAGATAATGGAAATCACCAAAATTGGGTACATGTTAATGAAAACATGTGCGATGCTCTTTAAAAAGCACTACCAGTATTTTTCTTCTTCAGAGTCCCTTTTAACTTCGTTTAAATAACGCTTTCAATAAGGTCTATCGTATTTTTTTTTCACTAATTCTAATTCGGCAAAGGTTTGCGAGTTCATTTATTAGGTCAGATATACTGATATAGGTTGGTGATATTAATAGTAGGTATTATTAATCTTACGTGTGGTAATTCCCATGTGGTCATGCCTCTGGACGAAAACTTTGCAATCCTGTCATCGAACCCGATGCCTCCAACACCAATGACATCCATCTGGTCTGCAGGGTTGTTGAGAGTGCCGTACAAAGGACCGTCGTTTCCTATTGCAGACACCATGATGACCTAAAAAGATTTTTTACCTTTATATTTATTACCTAATGTGGTTGCAATCAATCTTGGTCGAAAATAAAAATCAAGCAACACCAATAAATATTACTTTGTGTGTTTGATGTGACATGCCTAAGTAATCACAATACATAATTAGTGTTTAGTGTATAATGGCTCAAAGCGTAGATAACCGAGTAGAAAAGAAACACGAGTTTTTAATTAAACAATGAAATTGTTTGATTGGTTCATACAGAAACTGACAAAAATTCACCTCTTTCCTTGTTTCTTTTTATGGCATCTTTACTTGTTTTTAAGTAGGCAACTACTAGTAGTTGCATATTATTATATAAATATTATTGATTTAGGTAGGTACTCTTACCTTATTTGCACTAAGCTCCCATACTTTATCAACAAATGGATGATCCATGAAATCCGGTCCACCAATGCTCAGGTTAAGTACATCAATTTTACGCATGATAGCGTAGTTAAACGCGTCCAGAAACCACGACGTGTATGAGACCTGTGTGAAATACATGACTACTGATTAATTCAGCTGTAATTAGTTAAATTTCTCAACAATTGTTCCATGCAGATCGGAAAAGTTATGGGGAGTCTACCCATATTACGTCAGGAACTATTTTAGGACCAAGTTATAAATTATAATATATATTGTATGTCCCCAGCCTAACTAAGGAAGCACTAATCAAGGTTTATTATGTTTGGTCCTAATAGTAATAGTAGAGTAACCTAGGTATCTCCATACATAATTTAATTAGGTCGTTTAAGCTACTGGCATTATCTACAAATGAGGCAGTTCATGAGGATGTGGACGAATGTTTATTTCTCAATCACGAGTCGACTGAGCCTGAATTATACATATTCTAGTTTTCTCCCCGATCGGTGTCTACGATACCTACGTTCCGTAATTTTGGTCAAGCACGCTGGAAGAAGCGTAGATAGAAGATAACTAACGCAAGTGACATCTTGTAGTAAATATTTTTACATTTGTCGAACCACTTGACTTTATAACGCGCAGATAATTCACATAATGTCTTCATTATCTTATCTGTACACTTTAATTAAAATGTAGTCATACCACAATTATCTGTTCCGGTAAAAATATAATAAAATCTTTGCCATTTAATGAATAGATAACATTACAGTCTTTAGCTACAAAATTACGGTATATACATAGCCTGATACAGATACCTGAAGCAATAAAAATCATAATGCATTCCTAGAGATAACCGACATAAATAATTATTTGAATCAATATATATATGCATAAGTATAGTATTTTACTACATACCTGATTGTCGGTAAACACGCGGAAAATATGTAAATCTGCATCAGGTGCAAAGCCAAGGCATTCAGCTCGAGAGGCGATCACGCCAGCGACGAAAGTTCCATGACCTAGAGCGTCGTCTAATGTGTTTTCGCCGGTCCAATCGGTTCGTTCACGGACGCGCCCGAAATGTGGGTGATTTCGAGCTAACCCCGTGTCAAACACTGCTACTTTTATACCTTCACCTGCCAGAATGAAAGACCATGTTAATTTTATAAGACACTACCTAATGCGCAGTTTACCCCCATCCCGGCTCCTTCCTCGATAAATGATTTACGTGTATATAGTGTACATGTATAATATAAACAATAATTATTGATTTTAAACCAGTATTTCCGGAGGTTAGTGCGTTTAAACAAACAAACTCTTTTGCTCTGTTAGTATAATAATTATACTTCTATACTCTTATACTATTAATTATTATACTATAATAATATAAGTAAGAGTTTAGAAGTACCTAAGCATAGATGACGAAACGTTGACGGTAATTTAAAATGGGAATCGAATGTAAAGCGTCTCGAGAGGACAAATTGTCGAAAAGGACTTGATTTCCTTCAATTCAATTTAAGTTTTGAGTTCAGAGCCTACGGTAGATAAGCAGGACTACAGACTCACCAGTTACACCTAGAGACCAGAGCAGATCAGCTTTCAAAACCGATGTTATTTGCCGAGGGACAGTTCGTAACAATTTCCTGGACGTGTAACCACCATTCTGTAAAAAAATTATACGGAATCAATTAAATGTAAATGTGTTTTTTTTTGTAAGTACAATTTAAGTTGACATAATTCATTTAACGAATGGTAAGTAGTAAAATATTTGATTACCTCACGCGGCTGTCTTAAGGATTTCGGTCCTCGTACTCGATGATTACGCCAGCCCGCATATAAACATCCAGCTGGTCCACAATCATCCTAAATTACAATGATAGTTTAAACAAGCATTAATGATATACACATTCGAGCACACACACACACACATACAAATCACAATAGTACAAAAGATTTAATTCAATTGTCACATGCAGCAGATATCAATACATATTTGAAAACATTTGTGTCTCATCCCATCTCATCGCTTTACAAAAATCACTACTTGAATACGTAGTGATAAGATATATTTACCTCGCGTATGTATTTGATAGTACGGGTAACTTGCCGCTGCGCTGTAACTCGACGGATAGCTGGATGGTCTTTCAAGGCATCAAGTGCACGTCTTCCTTCATCTTCAAGAACTATTACATCGAAGTCACTTGGATATTCTTTAGCTGGGTTATTACGTTGCAGTAATGTCCAATTTGATATCTGAAACGATATTTAAATGTTGCTGTGTCTCTAAAACCTTATCATTAGCTAATCGCAGGATAGCGGAAAGGAGATCAGTGAATCCTCTACCTCAATCATCAGAAATGAAACAATACATTTTCAAGGACTAATATTAGTAAATATGCAGAAGTGTGTAGGTAATTAATTTCTCGATATAACTCGCGATATGCCAATTATTTAAGTCAGTAGTTAATAATTCCTCTTAACATTTATTCTCGCTCTTATAATGAACTGGCTACACCCCCGCAGTTTCACCCGCTCTGCTCGGCTCCTATTACCTTATTTTCCTTCCTCGATAAATGGACTATCCAACACAAAAATATTTTTTTAAATCGAACCCGTAGTTCCTGAGATTAGCATGTACAAACGAACAAACAAATTCTTCAATATACAAATATATAATAGGGGTAAGCAGAATTGCACATTACGGCACTTAATGCCACTGTAAACTGTAACACCCACTTTTCACTATTTATGTTATGAGTCCCATGTAATGGGGGTTGAGCCTATTGCCATATACTGGGCACAATTCCAGTGTTTGCCCGACCTCGGAATCGAACCCGAGACCCCTTGCGCAGCAGTCACACTAACAACAGCTCTGTCAATGTCACAGTTAACAAACTTTTCAACTTTATAATTGTGTATAATACATACAGGGAAATTAGTATGTGAAGTTCAGCCATAGGAAAGTAATAATATTTTCCAATATAATCAATAATTTCTATGATAGGTAGCATACTGTTAGAAAGGGTATTAAAATGTTTTTAAAATAAAGCTAATTTAGTTAGTTAAGAAATTAAACCTTTTTAAAATAATGCCAATTTAATAAATTAAGAAATTCAAAAATTGCAGACTTTACTTAAAAATTGTAACTTAAGGAATTTGAAACCAGTTGTATCAAATAAAGATGTCTTTAGATTTAAAATGTCAAACACCGCGAGGACACCGGTGACCGCAACCTATTGTTCTTTAATTGTGTTTATAATGACGGTACTTAATGGGTTTAAACAATTTGGGGAATACAACAAAAGGATCATGGGCGGATTGTACGTAGAATGAACAGTGTTGATATGTATTATGTCATTTGTAAGAGCAAAGAGAGAGAGAGCAAAAGAGCATAGCTTGTTAATTTACAATTGATCAATATGCAGATTCAATATTAGAAATTCGCAATGGCAAAGAAAGACTATTCACAAATTATTATAATATAACTGGCTCTGACGATTATAAAAAAACTGTATTATTGAAAGAATCATGCAATCATACATCAATACAGCCTATATGTGCCCACTGCTGAGCAAAAGCTGCTAGTTCTGACACTGACAAGATTTAGGTTAAGAATGCTTAGTGTAAAGCTTCTCCTGGTGATTGATTTACAGAGTTACAAGAAATACTTGAACTCAAATTCAACAAATTGGGCATTAGACTTGTAAATTTTTTTTTAGGTTTTTGAGGAATTTCTTTGTAATACCATAAAGTCTAAATCTGTGCCCAAGCCTCACATTCTATTACATAGAACTCATAATTTGCGCAAAGTGAGTGTAACATTGTATATGAGAATAAATAAGTGTGACATCATATAAATCCAAATATTTTAAATTTCTTTTTTTGGTTTTTAATCACATTACAAATTTTTAAAACCTTACCATTCAGCCAGAGATAGGGTGCAAAGCTTTCATTATCAATCTATTAGTCTCATAATAAATATTGAATTAAACCAGAGACCCAGGTGAAAAATCTAGAAAGTATAGATAACAAATAGCAAGGTGCCTTGTAATTTTATAGTATTGAGAAACAAATAAAGGAAGACTAAATGAAAACCTTTTCAAGCTTTCATATGCAGATTATAGATAATGTCAACTCACCCCTGCATTCCTCAACGCTGCAGTGACATAATTCTCTCTTGTTGATCTTGGAAAATAACCCTTGTATGTTATTATATGCTCGCTATTCACAACATCTGAATTAAACTCGTAATTAACTCGCTGTGATATTGAAGAGTTACACACAGTATCAACGTTTACACCTAGGCCATCTCCAAATGTTATAGGATATAAATGGAGACTCGTTAAAAATACAAACAGCTTCTTGCGGGTCAACCCCATGTCTGACGCATATTACAGCTATCATTGAACTGCATTATTTACTTGAATAAATCACATTCACGTTTTGAACATATTCAAGCATCTCAAACAATTTATTAACATTTGTTTCACAAGTTCACGACTATTACAATGATCAATGATTAAAGGAAGGAACGATCACCACAGCTCTTCGTTTGCATTGCACTATGTCGAACTCGAACTCGAAAGTTGAAAGCAAAAAGGAGTAGATATACAGACGACAGACGATACAATAAAGGTACGAAAATCTAGGAAAAAATAAATACACAATGTCAACTGTCAACTTACTGACAATTCGATTGCTGTCAATGTCAAAATACTTTTTTTCTCTTATTTCGCACATAGAGGTGTAGGTTTTCTCCTTGGTTTCTCTAAGAGTATCAATTAGCATAAAAGTTATAGATCAGGGCAATATTTCGCTCTTAAGTGATTATATCAACTATACCACCATGTTCAGTGAGATCTATTTATTACCTACCTATAATAAGATTGATTAACAAATATAAGACTACACATTCACATTATCAAGACATCTTACTTGCTATTTTCAACCGACTTCAAAAAAAAGGAGGAGGTTCTCAATTGGGCTATAATTATGTTTTTTTTAACGAATGTTATTACTACTAATAATAAAATATTAATATTTCTGCCAGTATTAGTATTATATAATCAAATTGTTTATTGGTGTATGGGCAACAAATTAAAACTAAAATCACTTAAATCAACCCAGTACCTTTTTGGTGATTGATGATTTTGTAGTTCGATCGGGATTTTTTCACCAAAACCGTAAATGTTGAATATCTCAGAAACTAGCCACTTTCGGTCCAGAGACCTCAGGGTTAATGTTGTAAAAAATTATTGTATTATCACCAAAGAGTATAATAAGTATAGGGGATTATCACCTTCCGAGAGGAATACGTCGATTTCGTACAAGTCATCCTGAATACCTACCCTATATACTTATTATACTCTTTGCACCATACCTACTTTGAATAGTTTTTTACTCCAAAACTGAAAAATGCATCAATAATGACATTTATGTGTATTTACATGTCAATTTTGAGTGAACAAAAGATCAATGGTGTGTATCAGGAGCATAGATATAAAAATAAGAATAGGCAAGCGAAGTAAACAATATTTTATTCTATTCTATTACATAATAACATTATATAATAATAAAATGTTGGTATCTTAACTAAAATAATGGTCATTTAATTTTGCTGTGTTCACCTTAAATTATTTATAGAATTGCTATTTACTGTATGGATATCTTCACGTAAATAAGATACACAGACATAAATACCTAATGGCTTACAATTTAGGATCAAGATTTCCACCTCCCCCAAAATATTATACAATTCTTGATCCTGGAGCATATCAAGGTGATGTTAGCAGAAGAAAACAGAATGTGGTTCCTTTTCTTTCAAATACACCACGTAACACACAAAGTGGTGTTCAATTGTGGACTCAAGCAATTTATAATTATGATTTGCCACGAAATATTCCAAATTGCTCAGCAATGCTTTCAAAAAAGCCGAGATTTCCATACAAAGCCTTTAGTAATGAAGATTTAGAAGAAATTTTGTGTAAGTGTGGTATTTCTAGTCCATGTGAATGTCCCATTGACCAAGAAAAGGAAGAAAATATTGTAATATGCCAAGGTAAAGTGAAAAGACGCATTTTCAAAGGTCCTACTCCTCGATCTGTTTTGGGAGATGAAGGTTTATCGGCACCATCAAGGAAAGACTATGGTTTTGAGGTAGCAGATGGTGTTCAACATAGATTAATGAAAGAAATTAAAGAAGAATGCCCACCATTTTATGATGCTAGAGTAAACGAATCTACAGCCTTTTATCAGGGATGTAAATGGAGTAAAAGAACGTCGTCAAAAGCTCACAAACTGCTTGGAATTAAACCTGGTCCTGGAGATTATTCTTTTGAAAGGGAGCCTACAGAAGATAAGATTTGTATAGAAAAGATACGCGCATATAAAAAAAGAATAGCAAGGCAATTACGTTTTATGGACTTAGTTTATGAAAAAAATTTGTCTGAAAATAGACCTGGTCCTGCAACGTATGATCCAAAAGTACCAAAAGGCACTGATCTTAGTTTCATAGGCTCAAAAGCGAAAAGGTTCCCATTATCAAAATATGAGGTATCTCCAGGTCCGGCAGATCATTGGCTTCGAAGAGATTTTGATCCAATTGAATCTAGTGGAATAACATGTCATGCTAAATTACCGGACCCACCTTGTTTCGGAACCAAAACAGACCGGTTTCGTAATAAAAGTTCTGATGGGCCAAGTCCGGCTTCTTACAATACAAGAAACAAACTTTGCAATTATGTTCATTGCAGTAAAGCCCCTTTTGGAAGTACTGCAATGAGATTTAAAGATAAAGTAAAAGAAGAAAGCTATGCTGACAAACTAGAATCAGTAGAAGACATACGAGATATACCAAAGGAAGAGGAACAAACCGTAAAGCCATGCATTCAACGTACCTGGGAATTTAGATCTAAAACTATTCGAATGAAACCGTTGCTAAAAAAATACGATGAGCCTAGCCCAGCCGATCTGCCACAAAATACAATTGAAACAAATAGGTCTCCTGTATCGCAATATATAGCCCCATTCTATTCATCTGAAGGGCGTTTTTTACCGTGGCATTGTTGGTTACCTGTACATGGTAAAATGCAAACACCTGGGCCTGCAACATATTCCTTGACAAAGCCTAAATGTCTTCCAGCTTTTAATCGTGGACCCTTGTATCGAGCTGAACGTTTTCCAAAACTAGCGCAGCGCTCTCCTGCACCGAACAAATATGACGTCGATTGTGGTATTGAAACTATTTTATCTACACATAACCAACGCTTAAAAAATAATATTAAAAATCAATGCAAATTTCATTGGGAGCCACCAAAACCAAGAAAAGTATTGACTTTTGAAGAGCAAGAAGATTTGCTATTCCAACATGCAATACAAATATTAAATTTAGAAGACGAAATACTAAATGAACAACCTGTTAAAGAGAAGGAACTTAGCCCTAACGAACCAAAACAACAAAAAATGTTGAGATCATTTCTGTATGCTCACCCTACACCACAATATTTTTAGATAACTTGAACGCATTCATATTTTATGTGAAATAAAATCATTTGTTTTACATACACACACATATTTCTATTTGTAATCTTTAACTTAATTTGGGTTCCGCACGCGCCTCATAGAGCTACCGAGCTATCTCTGATGGATGGAGCCCACTAGCAAAAATGTATGAAGTGGCAAAAAGTGACCATGTAACGTCGCGCACCAGCTCAAAGTGGGAGTTGATACGGGGTGTTTTTTATTCAGTAAGAGTCTGACCCTTCCTGTCGCCTTAACCAGTGCGATAGGAGAAATTTGATGATTATTACCTACTTCAAACAATAGACACTATAGTTTTCACACACACTAACACTTTACATTCAGATTCGGAACCACCCGGAAGACACGGTGGAGTATATAATGGCGATAGCCTGCAGGGGTCAAGCACTACCGTGTCTTCAGAGAAGTGATCAGTGGCGGCGCTTCTCGCGCTCAGCTTTACTGCTAGTTCTTTCTTTGTTGGCATGACTGTTTCGCTTTGCAAAAGAACAAAGAAGACACTGCTTCCTCTCGCTCCGCACTATGGCCTGAAACAAAGCAGGTTGCGAGGTCACTTCCCTGAGAACACGCCAGTGCTTAGCCCCAGTAGGGGCGTAGGGCACACCAGCACCATAGACTCCACCGCGACCTCCAGGGGGTTCTCGCAGTAACGACATCCGGGTGTTTACTCGCTGAATTTGAAACAAATACCTACCAAAACATTCATCGTACATGTTCAGGTAAGCAACGTCGTGAGGTAGAAGGTAAGGAAACCATGGTATCTGTCTAGCTACTCCTCAACAAATGAGTAACGACTGGTCGTCTCAGAATTGACACCTTTAATGTGTCTCTCACCGCACTGACTTCTTCCACTCTTCTTTTTTCATTCATTCTGTGGAATGCGCTGCCTAAGGAAATCAGAATGGCAATAAATCAAATTGGCAGATAACATGGCAGAACTGGCAGACTCAAAACAGTTTAGGAAACTATATGTTTGACATAGTTTTCTACAATGTATTGTAATTTAAATATATATATTTCAACGGTGACTGACTGACTGACTGACATAGTGATCATATCAGACTATCAACAACCCCTATACTTACCTATTATACTCTTTGCTATCAACGCACAGCCCAAACCACTGGACGGATCCGGCTGAAAGGGCATTGACTGAAATTGGAGCGTTTTTTTAGCGGCAATAGATGATTTGTGAAAAATATTATTTAAAATGACATTACCAACGAAATTGTCTATGAGCTCATATATAAAAGTCGCAGTCTGGACTGAGTTATAAGCGTTGAAAGGAGTTGGAGTCAAACATTTTTAGGGAACAGAGAGTATTAGTACGAGAGATGACGACCAAAATTTTTGTCTCATAGCAATACGGCCAAAACCGCATAAAATCGATGGATACGATTATCCTGAACTCGAAAATACCAATATCAGACATTTTCCGCGTAGCGTTTGATCTGACCGAATTTTCAAAATTGTCAAAGAATGTTACCGAACTGCTTTATAGCAATATGTCTGATTTGTAGACTGTAGTTGAATGATAGTTCTAAGATACCGGAAACATATTTTTCAGACGTTAGTGGTGTAGCGGAAACCCGTAAAATCACTTAAAAGAATAAAAATTAGACAAAAAATGTCTTATAGCAATACGTCTTTTTATTAGTAAATTTTGGTTATTTGATGCGAACAAAACAATTTTCAGACGGAAATGTGAACGCATTAAATTTTGAGACCGTTTTGAAAATGTTAACAAATTTTACCGATCGGTATCATGGCAATATGTCCGAAAAATTGTTGGACATGCTAAAATAAGTTGTTCACATGTGCAAAAAATTTATATCAGACAAAATAAGTGTAGCACCTTCTCCATCAGACAACTTTTCGATACTCAGATATTTTTGACACAGCAGAAATGGCCTCCCACGCAGTTGCTACACTTTCGACACATCTAGTCGGGTTCAGAATCATACAATCTAACGATTTTATAGGGTTTTTGCCGTATTGCTATGAGACTTGGTTTTGGTCGTCATCTCTCGTACTATATAGTTCCCTAAGATCGGGAAAGGAAGATCCTCCGACCAGGCGAGGCGATCATGCCTGGCGGAC